TGTTCTATTTCCTACTTGATGAATACCCAACTCGCCCAAGCATCTATTGTAACCTGCGCAATATCGACGTTTAAGGGTTAGAAGTAGGCTAATATAAATAAAATAAAAATGTAGGATCGTTTTGAAGACGTGAAATTAATTAGCACTCGGGTGCGGCTTATATTCGAGTACATTCGCAATTAGAGCACAGCCTGGAGAGAAATAATTAAACAAACACAATCTGCGACGTCTGCGGGAAACAAACCTGACACCGACAGCAACGAATGCCGACTTTGTCTGGCACAGATCCAACTCAAAACAGGCCGCCATTTAGAACGCTAGACGCTTGTTATCTCGCACACCTCGTATTTATCGCGGCCTGCTCCTTTCTCTTTATTTTTCTCGTCCCTATTGTTTCGATAACAAAGCACAAAGTCCCGAAAATTGGTTACTATTGCACAAACGGATGTCCCGGGATTTCTAGCCCACGACCTTCTAGCTCGCTTGCCAAATGAGGAGCGAAGCAGACGACAAAGGTCGTCGCGCTCGAATGTTAATTCCGAGATCTCCCGCGAGGTCACGTGCGCTACTCCGGGAAACTCTTTTGACGTCACAGGTTATCTTTGGAGCTTAGGAGAGTCACTCCTTTTAACTCCTGAGGTGGGAGGACGTAGCACTCGAAGACGAGGGACCTCCAGTGCTTTATACCGTTTTATCGGTATTTCGCTGAATTTAGCGGGGGCACGCTGCAACGTGAGAAAACCACGATCACGTGACAGCCAGCTGTCTCTCGCCTAGAATCGGGGGGATCGCGGTTTCGGCGGTCGGTGGAGGAGTCCCCGAGCAACTTTACGAGCTACTCGATGGGAAGTTCTGCCTCCGTTTGTTCGAGAGTCGGACTTTCTTCAACATCTGTGCGAGACGTAAGTCCGAACAATACACCATTTCTTTCTCGTTTCCAACCTAGAAACGAATCGTTTCTATTTGCGGTGAGGGGTAGCCGAGCTTGAGAGCGATGCCGAAGCTGTCGTGAGCCTTGGGTCCGTACTCGGCGTGCCATGACTCAACATCCCTTTGTTTGGAGGTGTGTCAACAAGGAGCGCGCATTGTGTTCGGAATGGAACGTCACAGTTTTGCGCTTTGTTATGATATGACATGGGAGCCTTCGCGTTGTTGAGAGATGGCAATATCATCTTCGTTGTGGACAAATGACAAAAACGAACTTCGTTGGTTGCGTCGTCGTAGTGTGATCGGCCTTTGAGTTTTGTTACTGGGGCGTTATCAGATCCGATACAATCTGGCAAACCGAGTGTGCTTTGGTGTTTGTCGAATGTGTGCTCGAGGTGCCTCTGCAGCGATCGCTCCAGTTTTACTTGGAACGCTTTGGGAGTTGTCGGCAAATATTCTGCTCTCTGAATGACTCCTTGCCTAGACTACTTTACTTACTTGGTCGACGGTAAGCCGCACGAAATATCTCTCGATTGGGTTTCTCTTTCCTTTTGTCATGTTATCTTCTTCTGTTTGAATCCCGCCATGTTTAAAAACATTAACCCACCCCGATTTTTAACTTAATTTGCTTGCTTGCTTTTTTTTTTTTTAACACCGAAAAATTGCTTATTTTTAGTAATCATAGTGTTTGGATCAATGATGACCTCGGCATAAATGCGACTATATTCGCTTTCACCTCAAGAACTGTAGTAAAAAAAGTTTGACTTCACACAGAGCATTACCAATTTCCCCCTTTTCAGCAGAGTGTTATTATATATGTGGGCGCAATTGAGTGTAGATATATACATGCCTTGCATGTGACGTCGTATGGCACCGTAGCAGCCATTGCTCCATACCATTCTCCTGAGCCCTTACCTTCTGCAGCATATACATCTCGCAAAATCGAATTTGTTCTTCTTGGCAAGCCTTGTGCAGAAAAACAGGTTCGACGATGCCAAATGTATGCTGCAAAAGATACAGGCACAAGAAAATAGTGACGTGACGTCAACGGAAGCCATGTACAGGGTGTCTGTAATAACCAGGCTCGATCTCAAATGGGCTGTAAAAATCAGCGCCTGCACGTTGCGATCTAAACTTTTCGTCAAAGGTGTATTTCAAAGGTCAGTTTTTCCTTGTAAAATTGCAAAGCGTAGCTTCCTTTCTGTAAAATATAAGGCTAAAAAACTTGCCAGGGTGAACGGCAGACGGCAACGCAGACGACCGAGTCAAGTGGCGGGGCACATTTGGCGCTTGTATTGATAGATGGCGCTACCTTATCGACTCTGCTCGCTACGACCGTGGTCTACTAAAATGAACAATCTTTTTGTATGTACCTTTGGTTTAAAAATACATGCAGACAATAAAAGCAAAACTTGCAGTAAAACAAAAAAAATGTGGTTGCATAACGACGGGGCTTTTGCTGCTGACGGGTTTCGCCTGCATGTCGTCTGCTTTCTGTCGGCTACACCTTCCGACGGATTCCGACGCTGCTCCCGGCACCATCTATCAATACGTGTGCCAAGTGCGCCCCACCACAAGGCTCGGTCGTCTGCGTCGCCGTCCACCGTTGACCCTGGCAACTTTTTGGCCCCCTTTTTTTTTTAAAGAAAGGAAGCTACGCTCTGTAATTTTACAACATAAAGCCGACCTCTGAAATGCACCTTTGACGAGAAGTTTAGATTGCTACGTGCAGGGGCCGATTTCTACGGCCCTTTTTAGGTCGAGCCTAGTTGTTTTAGACACCCTGTATTTTATCAAGAAATATTTGTTTCAAATGCAAAAAGCATCACTTCTTTCTCCAAAATCCAAATCTTCTAGGAACTACTTCACCCGGCCTATGAGCAGTGCTCAAAACTTGCTTTTTATTTTTTTTATTTTTTTTAGGTGATTAAAGCTATGTCAAGATATAAGCAAACTTTGCTTCACAGCTTCTCGCCATGATAACAAGTTTGCCAGGAACATATAACTTAAAAATAGCATTTATCCAACTTTTTTTTATTACTCACTGAAAGTTAGCCCACTCCTTATTTTTGCCAGATTTGGTCGTGATTTTAGGTGGGCTATCTCTCGGGACGTTATGGTATTAATGACCATCGCTGTAACCAAGGGAGATTATACCAACCTTTGGATCCTTAGCACATCTTGACTGCAAGTTTTCATGCTTAAAAAAAGGCTGAAGAGGTTCTTGAAAAAAAATTGCACGACAATCACACGATGTGATGCATTTAGACAGTGACGGCTGTTCTGCTTATTTGTTGATATGACAATGATGATCGATTGACAGTTACCATGTATATTGCTTGCCTAGATAGCCGAGCACGCTAGCGCGTGAAAACAGAACCTCTGTGTTTTTCTCATCAACAAAAAAGTGCCCTACGATGCTCAATGCAGTTTTCGCGTCAGCGGCACTAGGCATAAAAACTGATGCGACCTTTCCTAGGCCTAACCATTTTCACGATTTCACCGTTCAAAAACGGATCTCGGGCCACGGCATGTGATTGTGCGTCATACGGTGATCTGATATTAAAATGGCGTTGCATTGATTTAGCGTCGACACGGTGCTGATGAACAAATGATTATAAGATTGTGTTTTCCTGTCAAATTTACTGGGGAAACCGGGTGTCTAGCGACCAGGAAAACTGGGAATTGTCAGAGAAATTTTAATTATTGGGAAAAATCAGGGATATTGTCAAAAAGCGAGCCCAGTCAGGGAAAATGAGCCGTAAACGCCATCGAGTGCCCTGAGCAAAGACTTGGACTTGGGGGGCAGAAAAATAGGCAATAAATTCTGCTTAGAGCGGAGCGCCGGCTCTGCTCACCTAATGTACAATGTGCTACTTGATGCAAAGAGAACAACCACAAATCCAGTCTAAGCCTTGGATTGGATTAGATTGAGGGCACAACACTAGGCTAGATCCAGTTAGAGCTACTAGACTTAGTAACAAATGGGATAGCCGCAGACCCCAATCCAAGCCTGAAGCCGAAAGTATCCGAAAGTGTGCATCTGGCAGCCAGGCTGCCGTTCAGTTATTGACCTGTGTGGCTTAGCGTCGTGTTCTCATTGTGCTTCCGGAAATGACACCTCCACTGACGATGTCGACGGGAACAAAGTGTTCATTAAATCCGGACTGGATGAACTCGAATATTTCGGAATATGCAAGTTGAATTAAGCCTGTGCAAAATGATCTTCACAGTGCTCAATGCCCTGTGTTGTAATGGTCTTATATATTTAACCGCCTCTACAGTGGTCAGGGAATTTCCCCTGAAATTGTCAGGGAAAACCTGGAAAAGTCAGGGAATTTCAAAATAATTATTTGCTAGACACCCTGGGAAATTGAATTCGTCTGTAGGTCCCGTGACGTAGCAGGAAAACTGAATTGGCCGTAGATTTTTCCTCTAAATTTAGCAGGGAAACTGAATTGGTGCATAGGCCATATGACACAAATTTTTCCTCGAAATTTAGTGGGAAAACTGAATTTGGGGTCTTATGTCCCATGACATCAATTTTCCCTCCAAATTTAGCGGGGAAACTGAATTGGTGTATAGGTCACAACAGGGAAATTTTTCCGCTAAATTTAGCGAAGAAACTGGCGACGTTTACACTCACGGCGTCGATAAACCGGGGAACGGGCTACTAACAGCTATCGCTGTAAAACGAGAAGTGTTTTTTCTCAAATACAGAACTGCTTTAGTTTCCCTTTAGAGTAATGTCATTAGCCTGTGATCCGGCATCGCTACTTGACTTTATTGTGGCTCAGTCATAACTGTGCATCACAGTTGAACACAGGAGGACCGGTGTAATGTAACCGAAGCCTATCCTGACGAAAATTTGATTCTTGGCCACAAATATCAGCGACAGTTTTCTAGAAAGAAAATTAATCTTTAGTAAACATGTGAAATGTCTCTTGAAAGACATTTTACATGTTACTGTTAGCACTGTGTCCTCTTGAATGGCAGCTCGCTCTAAAAGCCGTTAATTGTCCAAGTGTTCCGTCGTGCCTTTTCACTCACTATGTTGGTCGTTTGGGTTGCAGTGCGCACGACTAGCGTCATCCTCCTGCTCGGCGTTGGCTCGTTTGTGTGCTACAAGCTCTACCGGCAGCTGAAACAGCGGCTGCGAAAGAAGCGCTCCAAGAAGGACCCCTCTTCGAGGAACTCTCACATCCGCAGTTGGGTCACCAATGTGGACCCTTGCTGTCCGCACGTGAGTGGAAACTCTTGCTTATCGTTGTCTTTTCGATCATTTGAGACAGGCCCGATGTGTGCTTGCAGATTTCTAGTCTGAGTACATGTTTGTCGAGGCGATTTGGTTTTGCCAGAAAGTAACGGTATATTTCAAACTGGTGTGTTCTCGCAGTTATGTTTTAGATCTCGGGGTTTTACCGCTATCGCTACAAGCTGACATTTCTTTGTCTCATTACTTGCAAGCATGATTTAAATATGATGTCAGTTGGTTGCAGCAAAAGCTATCTTGTGTACAACTTCCTGTGAACCTCTTTGAAAACGATTGAAACTCTTTGCAATTGGGTTATTTGTGCATGCCACGTATATAGACATGTGTGAGAACATTGTTTCGTAATAGCTTCCTCAAACTCTTCGTGCTTCCAAATATGCAAGCGAGTGCACAACCTTTTTCGCCGTGTCACTATGTGGTGCTTCACACTTCCACAAGCAAGCTTTCTTCTCAACAAAAATAATCATAATGAGGCAACCTTTAGGAAAGTATTTAGAACTTTGTCAGAACCTAAGTAATAATTAAACCACTCCCCAACACAGTGGTTCTCAACCATTGATGTTTCGCGGACCCCTTGTAGACAGGGGGGAGATGATGGAGGACCCTGTTTGGGGTGAGGGGAATAGAAAGGTATAGATTAATCATGATAATGATTTTATAAATGAATATAGCTATTTTCTAGTGCGAAGTAGACTTATCTCAATGATATACACATGAGAGAACTCGCCCGCCCGAAAATTGAAATGTTTTTCTCAATGTGAAAAAAGACAACTTATATTGCCGGGCTTGACTGATGAAACAGGGGATTGCGGACCCCTAGGATACCATCGCGGACCCCAAAGGGTCTGCGGACCCCCATTTGAGAACCACTGCCAAAACAGATGCAACAAACTCTATGCATTGTGATTTTTCTCCCGAGCTTTTGGTTGGGCAACGATTCTGAGTAAGCTTTCATGGGTTTGAAGCAGCATCTGAACGTTTTCTGCACTTTGACTGCAGGACTGCTACCTCGAGAGTGACGATGAGTCGGAGATCAGCGAGACCACACGCCGAGACGACTCCAGTGAAGAGGCGTCATTCGGGGATGCTGTGAGTTGGCTGGTTTTCCTCTAACATCTGTGACCTATATTGGCATATAATTGCTTGCATTTCCACCTGGCTACGCTTGCTTTGTGTGCCTCCAAACCCGCATGCGCAACTTTGTAGTTTTTCTTTTTTATGTTTGTTGACGTCTTTCAGACCGAGCCTATGAGACGGAATGGTCGGCATGAGCAGAAATGTGTACGTTTTCCAAAGCTCTTTGTCTTCTTGCACGCCTTGTTTCATTGTAGTACCCACTGTTATGAATAGCTGTTGCTTTTCATATCGTTGCACCTTTTCTTGTTTCGCACCCTGGCTTTAGCATTTGCTTTTTACTTATGTTGTACAACCCACCATGCCGCCACAGCTTTCTGCATTTTGCACTTTTAGTTGTGAAAGTTTTCTGTTGCAGATGATACTAAACATACAACTTTCCGGCTCATTCGCAAGTACAGATGGCATGGCATGATAAGAAATTTCATTGAGTAAATTAACAAACCAAACAAAACCTATGTAAGTTCTGTGATAAGATTTCAGTGTGTATATACTTGAGCAAACGTGGCTATCGATTAATATTTTAATTTGTTTAGAAGACATTAAACGCCATGTGATGTTTACGGCGTCAAAATGTGGTGTCGCACGGCCTCTTCACGTCAGGCTGGTCACGTCGTGTGCCACAGGGTATGCGCGAGCGCATGTCCAGACAAAGTCCTAAGAGTAGGAGCTTTTGTTTTAAGGGGGGACACTACCCAAGAGGGTTAACTTTTAAACCTTTGGCTTAATATGGGTGAAATTTAGAGTATATACTGGAAGTTGCAAGGCAGAATGCAGTGCAAAGTTTCATCAGTGTACATGAGCTGTAAAATAATTTGTAGTAATTTTTATGAGGAACACACCGACTTAGTTTACGAAAACTATCGTTAGGAAACTAATGTAATACTGAACATTTTTCTTAGTCTAGATCTGCAGCAGAATGCCTGGAGAGCGCAGCTGTGAAAAGGAAATTTCCAAAAATTAATTTACTTTATGCTAACATTGCAGTGAAAAATCAAATAAATTTTTTTGCCTTTTATGTCATCCACAGAGTCTTAACATCTTTTATAAAAGACATCCACAAAGTCAAAAAACAATTCCATAGTTGCACTGCCCATAAAATTCCACTTGGGAAAAACAATAAGCGAGTCTTTCCTCTTGTCCCATTAACAAGCGATAGTTTTCCTAAAATGAAATTTATGCCAAAATGTGGAACGGATAAAATTGTGTTCAAAGTGTTCCAACCCCTACCTTTTCTTTAGCTTCAATGGACCGAAAATTATTTATAAAAAATTAACTATGCGGTGTAAACTAATGAAACTTTCTGGAAATACTCTCCAGGTGCTGGTGGATGTAAATAAACATGTTTCAAAATCAACTTGTTTTGCAGGAAATTTTTTTTTTTGGGTAGTGTCCCCCCTTAAAGCATTCTACGCTTTACCGTAATATCGGAAGAGATGCCCCACCCCCAAAGGGTAACCCACCCCTATTTCTGGCAGGACTTGCTATTTTTTAAGAAACATAGAAAGATAGCCTAAGTCTAGTACTTGGAGGGCCCTGGTCAATGGTGACCTCGGCAGAAATGGTGTTACTTAGCAACGACGGGAGATAAGCAAACACTGCTGACTGGGAAAGACAACCGTCTTTGGTTCATCGCCACCCCCTGCAATCACAAGTTTCACAGGTCACAAAATTTAAAACTAGCATTTTTTAAACTTTCTTTGATCACACACCGAAAGTTAGAAAGGGCAAAAATATGGAAACTCCATATTTTTGCCCGATTTGCTTTCAGGTAGGCTATCTCTCAAGATATTACGGTAAAACATTGGGCATGTAGGTCATGTGCGTCTTCCAAGTGACACCAGTTGGGCAACGCATGACCGTTGCCAACAATCTCGCGGTGCGCGTTGTTTCGCGCGCAGGACACCAACTCGAGCTGCGGCGGTCTGAGTGACATCGAGGAGTGCTGGGACATGGGGGTGACGTCGAGCAACCCTTACGAGCCGGTGCGCTTCAACAGCCACTCCGGCAACGTCCGCTTCCAAGGTTGCCAGGCCCCCAAGGCCGCCTCTACCCCGCTGAACATCGGAGTTACCGTCGACCACCGCAACAGGTACGGGCCGGACTGGCGAGACGTCCCTCACGACATGGTAATTCTCGTTGCGGTGCGAAAGACGTGTGGGCGCAGGGTTCGCCACCCCACTTCAAAATGGGTGCCCTTTCGGAAAGCGTGTCCAACTAAAGAAAAGCTACGCAACCAGAGCAGCATCTTCGTAAGGGAGGGCAGTGAATGAAGTACTAAACAGTAAACTCTGTAAAACTCTAGAACATCATGTGCCTGTATCTTTAGGAGCTCTCCTGGCTTGCAAATTTTCTTGGCCGTTTTTGCCCCTAAGGAAAGAACTTTTCCAGTTCGAGCACCAATCACCTGTCACTAATGCATGACTATGTACCAGACACTCTCTTGTGCGTGCATTATTGTTTACAAGGCCTGTAGGCTCTATAGACCGTTTTATCGTGGGTAGCGCCATTTTGAAAGCGAGAGAGAAAAGGGGAAAGGACGACCGGCGCTTTCCCCCTTTCTGATTGTGTAGAAAGAGTGGAAGTCCCGGATGGGAGGCATGGCCGGTGTTGGGCGTCTGCAGTGCCCCAACTTCGTTCGCGCTTCCTTCTACGTTTCAAACTCCCAAACCTAATTAGAGCCATGGTCTTTGATGGCGACAGTCCCCCGGTCATCGGGACACCATTGCTGGGTGATAGGGTGCACGAATAACGACAGAAAGCGTCGAATACTGTCCGAGGGCTTATATGTAGCTTGCATGGAATCCGGCAAGGCAAGTACGGCTGGAATGTTTTTAAGCTCCATTGCTTTTCGCATGACTGGAAATGATGAACCATTTATACAATTTTGCTTGCAATGGGCCTATTTCAATGTAGCCGCGTTTAGTTGTAATCAACAAGCGATACACGAAACGGGAACTTTAACTAACTTTGTAAACGCCCGGAGCTGCTACATATCGTCTTGCTGTGCTGTTTTTATCTTCGTGTCCGTGTTCTTATATTTCCTTGTGAATGAACGACGAAGACGCTCTAGATGTACTTTCATCGAACCGCAGAAAGCCTCGAAGCAGCCACAATTATTTTACTATTTGATGCAATATTTTGGGTACTCACCTCAAATTTCTATAGCTGGCACGTTCGCTGCCGCTGTTCCCCCCGTCGCCACACTGGCGGATGCCATGACTCAAACAAAGAAACGTGCACACTGGGCTCGAAAACGCAGATCGCAACACACGAGACGTTCCCTGCAGCGACTATCAAGCGCCTCAAAGCGCCTTAGTCAACGGAAACAACACACCAGCGGCACTCCAAGGAGCGCTTATGCCGGTTCTCTAATATCGCGCAGGAAATCGCGATTAAAAAACAAACAAAAAAACAATAGAACTACGTTTTCAACAATTTCCAGCCTCACCCGGCGGCGGAAATAATCCTTCAAGTAAGTGTTGTAGATGATAAAATGGAGTCCGTCAGACTGCAAATTATCACTATTAAGATAAATTTAGTTACGAAATTTTACAAGCTGAAACAGCAGTTATCGTGAGAAAACTGGCACCCACATTGCGAGCGTACCCCATGTTCATCGGCGGTACAGCGTTCGGTGCCCGCTTTATTCACGAAATGTTCTGAGCGAAGTCGAGAGGATGGCGTTGAGGAAACGCCTTTTCGGTTTACGGACGCAATCCACTGCCCTCGGAGACAGGGGTCATGTGGAAAGCGGTGGAGCTCAAAGACATTGCAGCCGCTCTCGCCTTGCTGGATTCCTTGCAAGCTACATATGTCCTCGGACAGTATTCTATGCTTTCTGTCGTTATTCGTGCACCCTATGACCCAGCAATGGTGTCCCGATGACCGGGGGACTGTTGCCATCGAAGCCCGCGAGTTTAAAACAAAAGAAAGCGCGAACGAAGTTCGCGCACAGCAGACACCCAACACCGGCGAAGCCTCTCATCCGGGACTTTCACTCTTTCTACACAATCAGAAAGGGGGAAAGCGCCGGATGCCCTTTCCCCTTTTCTCTCTCGCCCTCTTTCAGTAAAACGGTCTATACTGCTTCGCTGCATCAACACCAAGACCTTAAAGATTTCTTTGGCTGCCATTCGAGGCAGAAGGTGTTCCAAGGTGGAAAAGTTAGTTGATCCATGCTTTAGAAGTGCTTGCATTCCCTATCTGTGTGGAACCGAAGCGTTGTTAAGTTTTGCTCAACATTCTCCTCGAGAGATAGCATAGCTGGTTTTTTTGTGATCCGGAGGAAACTCATTATGACTGAATTGCTTAGGAGCCAAGATATGAAATAAGTCTATCATCCCTGTTGTCTTACATCGACATCATGACACAGTGTGCAAGCTAATTTTTGACAGTATGTATGAGCTTGAACCAAGTTCTTTGTTCCCCACTGGAAAACTTAGGGGAATGTTGCTGCCTTAATTTTGGTGAATTCCATTGGTGTTCGACATGCTCGTCACATGCTGACAATTGCAAGACCCTGCTTGAGACTATCACCACTCCCAACACCAAAACTTGTCTTTTCCTACAGTATAACATGCAGCAAGAGTGATTGTTTTACTGGCAGTTCTCGCTTTCTTGTGATCAGCTGGCCTTGTGACGTCATTATCATTTATTAAACCTTGAGGACGCATAGGGGCCCTCAAGGCAGGACGGTACTGCTGTACACTCCATTGAGAGACTAATGTATCTTCCTGCACCCTATCACCCCTGTTACCCTTTATCATAATTTACTAAAGAATATCACTGAAATCTATTAGTATTCCAGTATTCTATCATGAATAACAATTGGAGACTGTCTGTTATGAGCAAAGAGTGACCACTATACTCTGGCACAACTTTCTGTTGCAATGAAGAGAAAGCGGGGGGAGGGGGGGGGGGGGGAGGGGAGGAGCAGGAGGAGGAGGAGGAGGGCAAGAATGCCTTTGTATTTATTGTGCCACGTAGTTCTGGACTTTTTCGGTATCGGGTTTTGGTGTGACAGACATTTATTTGCTACAGTTCCTCTCTGTATGAGGATCACAGTTGGGGTGCTAAACTGCAATTGCCGAGCCTGCAGGCATGTCCGCATTTCTTTCCTTGCGTTGCACCGATGCCTGCACATAAACTAACGCTTTGAGTGAAGCACTCAGAATGACTTAAAACTGTCAATTACACCGTGGTCAATCTTGCCAAACTCCATTTGTCTTGCGACCGACGCAGGTATGCGGCGTCAATCCAAGAAATTCCGTGAGTCTCATCAACGCTGCAGTTTGGAAATCATTGATATGTGGATTCTTTTGGTACTAGAAAGCCGTAGCTCGGGTGCGATGAATCAATAAAGAGGTGCAGACACGCTATGGCACGAAATCAAATCCCATTTAGACCGCGTTTGGTTACCGCTGGTACTAGTGGGGGCCGGCGGCATGGCACACCTCGGAGCACGCATAGCAAAAACTCGCACTGTAGAATTCAGGGATCCTTGGCTCAATCTCCACCCCTGCTCGCTCACGCCGGTGAGCTCACTAACCAACCAGTGTACTGAAACAATGGAGAGTCCAGCCTCCCTCCGTTTCGCTTGTGCATACACGTTGCACACCACTTGCTTGGTTTTTGTTGACTTTTGGTTGCCAAACTTTGTGAAATTTCGACAGGGCAAAGAAAGAAGCAAAGCTCACGGAAGGTAGCGACGGCGACGAACGATATGCACGAGAGAGGCGCCATGTTTGTTGGGCAGGAAACTAGAAAACATACGGTGAACTGAAACCGGAAAAACCCGAAGGAGCTAAAAAATAAATGCTTTTAAGTTTGGCATATCCCGACTAATAGTTCCATTCTAAAAATCGGACCTAAAAAGAACATACCGTTGAATACCGTGCATCCGCCCATTCCCAAATTTGTAAAATCTGAAAAAATATGCACAGTACATTGATATGTAGAATTGATGACCGGACAAGCGCCCATCCCCCATTTTTTTATGATTATCTCAAAATTTTGAGTGGGCGCTTGCCCGGTATTTTACGGTATTTATATTTTTTGGTTGGTTTTGTTACATTGGTCAAACTATATTCAGCTGTGCAGCAAAACGGCATGCTTCAGCTTTGTAGCTTCGGCTGCATTACCACAGAAAGTTGACCTTGAGCATAGCTGACTTTGTCGATGAGCAGCATTCAAAACAGCTTCCCTCCCTTCTTATCCCAGGAATCACAAGCCGGAGAGCCGCCATCAGCTTCAGCGGAACTCCGGTTTGAAGGGACCGAAGGACAGGCAGAGCGCCGGATCCGGAGATTTAAAGACCGGTCCGAACAGCCACAACAACAACAACAACAAGAGCCATGACGACCCATCCCTTGTGTCGGATGACTCCGTTTCCCATGATCCGGAAGGACTACTGGACTCCCTTTCCTATGAGGGCAATGCCAGCAGTGGAGCGGCGACTCCCTGGGCGCAGGACACCCAGTCGCTCCAGGCCAACTTCAGCTTCGGGTCGCTGACGGAACGCAACCGGCTCACCGAGGAGCTGTTCTCCTCCGTCCGCGCGCTCGCGGAAGACGAGGAGACGGAGGACGGCTTTTCGCCGAGCGGGATGGTTTCCGATTCCGCAATCCCGCGCCTCCGTGACCAGCGCTACCTCTCTCTTGAGAGCGAAGCCTCAGACCTGAGCATCTTCGAACAGGCACCGCTCCAAGTGCCCCGCGAGACATTTGACACGATCGACCGGATCGAGACGATCCTCCACGACACCAAGCAGGAACTTTTGGACCTCGACGCGGACTTGGTGAGCCTCCGCGTCTGGCGAAAACTTCCACAGGACCACGAATCCGGCGCAACTCCAGCAGACGACGAGGGCGCGCTGCGGACGGCCGACAGCGGGAGCGACTTTGGCAACTCCTTAGAATCCGACTGCGAGCGGATCACTAAGGATTCGTCTGCTCCGAGCCTTGAGTGGGACTCTGCCTGTCTTCCGCGGCACGGCGCCGCGGAGCGACGTGGGTCTGGGCCGCACGACGACGGTACGAGCACGCTGAGCGAGATCTCGGACATCGAGGATGCCAAGTCGTCGGGGGTGTTGGACGCAGTCCGGCGGCACAGCGGCGGAAGCATCCGGATGCCCGGATCACTGCGGCAGGAGATCCAGCGCGCGATGAGGTTGGAGTCGGATCGGTGGAAAGGCCGGCTGGTACGGAGTCAGACGGCACCCGTGGACCATACGCTTCCGGAGTCTGAGTGGGCCTGCGACCTGTCGCGGTCAGCGACGCACGAGCTCTTCTCACTGAGTGACGCATTCGATCGGATTCCGACTGTCCCCGAGGAAAACACGCCCAGTCCAAGCAGCACGAGTGCGTCGGACTTTACGTCAGAGTTTGCATCAATTAACGTGAGCAGCCCGGCAGACGTTGCGAGTCACGACACCAACGGCAACGACATTGTGCGGGAGTGCCCGGACGACGAGTCGGGCTTCAGTGGCGATTCGGCCATCAGCATTGGTGACAGGGTGTTGATTGAGGACTACATTCCAGAGCAGTGGCGTCAAGAGAACAATCGTGCAACGGAAAACGCAGACAAGGTGATAATTCTTTTCAGTTTCCATTTCGCATACTCCATCGTTAGTGGCAAATCATAGTCGGTTACAGGTTAAGAACTCGATACACGCTTCGCCTCCATCGCGAACTTTCTGCCTTTGATAACTCTTCATCTCTCACTCAAGCACTTGCTGGGTGCAGAGCTTCTGCAGAATCGTTAGCTTGTCACTAACTATAGAAATATTACGATCACCACTTTCACGCACAGAACGCAGCAATTTAGAATGATAGTGTAGTCAGGACTGTTCAAGCTTTGTGACTAAGACTCAACACTGCTAGGTAAAACCCCATTGAAATTGAAGACATATAGCCAAACATTGGAATATTACCCTTCCCACTCAGATAATTGCTTCACCAACCTCAAGCCCGCTTGGATACTGCCCCGTGACAGCCGCAAGCATGCGTTCGGTGCCACATCACTGAGTATCACGTTCCATCTGCTGAGGATTCTCCACAGATTTCAATTCCTGGATTTATCATTCATTTGTCTCATTTCGTAGGTTGCACTAACCCGGAGCGCAAGCGTGTCTGCTTCTTTTGCAGGGGTTCTGGTGACATCAGAACGCCGAGTTTGGATTGGGTCTGATTGATAGATAGTGGGGGGACCTCAAAGCAAGTCTACCCACAACCCTTTAATCAGAGCCTATCAAAGCTCGGCATTCTGACATCACCACAACCCCTGCAGAAGAAGCAGACAAACTTGTGCTACGCATTGGCTCTTTCTGCACTCGTCGGAAACCCAGACGTTCCATCTCGCTACAAACGGCGTGGCAACGATTCGCGTGATTTATTTGGACGAGCGCCGGAAATGTCAAAGTTTGTTCATTATTGCCCCTTGGCATTCGACATTGAATCGTCGTGGGAGTGTTTGTATGATTAAAACCCTAGTCTCCAATCTTTTTTTTTCAGAGCCTTACGGGAGTTTTGTCTGGGCTGAGCGTGGTATCGATGAGACGAGTGAAGCACGACGGCTACGGCGCGATCCGGGCTGCCGCCTTTCAAGTGTTGGCGAGCGCAGGCTCTCTGCTCTCCAGCCACAGGGGGGCTAATGCAGTCTATCAGGTGAGCAACCTCCCAAACACTGCCAGCAACCCACAGCATAAGGGGACCACAAGTTTGGTCCCCTTATGCTGCCTGGAAAGTGTGTCCGATTGGTTGGTCCACCGCGTCTCTGAATCCGGTCCCTCGATTTCCGCCTGCTAACATCGCAGAAGTGTAGTGCTGCTGCCTTACACGATCCTGGCGATGTCGCACCGGTGGAGGCAAATATGGTAGGTGCCTGTTCTGCTGTAGGTCGCTCTCCAGCTGCGGTCGGTAGAAGGTTCAGCAGTCGGGAGTTGGGACGCAGCAACGACAGCAACACTCGTGTTTGCTCATACGTTGTGTCGGAGCTTCGGCGCACAACGACCGGGATAGCGACAACGTAACACGCCGTCTGCCGTGACGTCATTTGTTGCCACTTCGGAACGATTTTCGACGTACGAGCAATATAGGACGCTAAACAGACCAGTCGAAGATGCATTCCAGGCATCGTAGCACCATTGTTTCGGGCCAATATTGCTGGACATCAAATTAAAATTACTCCTAAAAGTGACCAAATGTCACAACCGCAAGCCACCGCCTGTTGATTGCATTCCTTTGTCGTACGGTTCCACTCGAGTTGCTCGTGAGCGTATGGCCGGCTTTGCATTGCATGTTTCCGGCTGGAAATCTCGCTGCAATTCATGGTGGAAATCTTCACCCTATGTGTTTCTAGGTGCAGAAGCAGTGTCTTTCCTCTCGCCCGAGTCGTCTTACCCTTTGTTCGGCTGCGTCTGCCGAAGTAGTTGGCAAAAGGAGCATCGGTCACTACTAATTTTTCATGCGTACCAGTCTTTATTGAAAGTCAGAACGAGCCAGCATGGGAAATGTTTTCTTTTCAATGACTAAAACGGCTTTAGCTGGTGCTGCCGGTGCATCTCCGAAGGATGAGAACATGAACTAACCGTGTGTTTAGATGACCTAAATATTTCCCCGGTCGCACTTCTTGGGTACTGTCGCCGACAAAGCCACCTCCTTGCTTCTGCAATTTACCGACACAAAAAAAAGAAAAAAGTCACTAAGGGAGAATTGTTTGGGCGGAAACAAACGGGGAAAACGGCAGAAAACGTTCTTAGCACGACCACGAACGACTAACGGTAAATGAGGAGGCATCATCCGAAACCGCCCCCCATATACTCGGGAGCTGATAAATGCTGTTTTACGTGTTTTCCGAGTTTGTTTCCAAACCTCTCTTCAAGCGGTCTGCACAAAACGCCCAAAAAATTCTTTCCTCACCCGGTTGTGGGACGGTCACCCCCGGCCTTTTGTTTCTGCAGAGGTTTCACGAGCCAGCGTCACTTGGGAAGCTCCCATGGCTGGAACAATGGCGCTTTCACCGCATGCTGGGTCCTGCAACATCGTCCCTGCAGCAGTTCTGGGAGTGCCTGTCCTGCCTACAGGATACCGTGAGTTCGACCCATCCTTGCGGGCATCGGCGGTTGTGCCTGTAGTCTCTGGCAAGAGAGGACGGCAGGGAGGTTTTTCAGTTACCAAGGGTAGGCAGCTCACCATCTCTGGGACAAGTTTCCTACCTTCGATAACACTTTTGCCTCTCATGAGCTTCGAGCATGCATGCGCGCCCAAGTCTACGAGCGTGTGCTGGAGGCTAGGCACCAGAGAGGGACGCCCTGCCATTTTCCTCCCGTCAAAGAACCGTGACAATTTTGTGATGTAGTATACCGGTTTTTGACATATCAGGCATATGCTATTGCACTGCACCACGAAATGTTCAGTCAGAAGCTTCTGCCAAGTGATGTAAAAAAATTGAGAGCCCTTCCTCCTTGTGAAAAGGGAAGTCCAGCGAAGCTGACACTCTGATAGAGACAATGACGTTTTATTATAGCGCGGCTGCGCCAGCAGAGGTGGTCACCGAATAGCGCGTGGCGTTGCGCATTGTGAGGGGGGAGAGAGGCGTTTTAAGTCTAAGCTCATTACAACAGACATTTGGATATAACGTACCGATTTGTGAAGTTCAGTTGGTTTTCCTCTACATACCATTGACTTAACTTCATATCTGCATACAACATACTCCTTTTACAACATACCAAAAGCTTGGTCAAAATCAAGGTCTGTTGTAACGAGCTTTGGCTGTATTGTAGCATGGCTACGCCACTCACGGCGCAGCTCTAGCGCGCCTCACAATTGGCTGCCGAAGAGCGCGCAACATTGCGCAATGTCAGGGGAGAGAGATTCCGCGTGTGGTGAGGAGTATACACAACTCGGGAAAGAGGTGGCGGCAGTAGAGAGGAGCATAAAGTGGGGCATACATTGTTGCGTTTGAAAATTGTTGGTCCACACTGGGTCTATTGCCGGAGACAATCCGCCAGAACCTAGCCATAGACAGCTTTGCTGTAAAAAATAAATAGAGAACATTCTCTATACTTCGTCTCACCCTACGATGGACTAAAGGCAGAAGCTACGAATCGCCAGATCCAATCACGATCCACTTATACATTGTGTGGTATTCCGCTTCGAAGCACGTATCGGTGCTCGCGCCTCGGATCACCGATAGAAATGGGCCGACAGTGGTTCTGATCAAGCAATGAGTGACTCAACAATTTTACATTGCAAAGAAAGCCACGGCTTACTGGCTCTTTGCAGTGTCGAAGCTATAAAACTGACGCAGCGTTTTTTAGATTCGGAGCATTATTCGACCAAACCTAAGCAACGCAAAGCGTGTCATAGTTTAGCGTGGAATGTGATTGGACCTGGCGGCCCGTGGCTTTGGCCTTTAGTCCATCGTAGGATGAGACGAAGTATAGATGTCACGAGATGAATGTCACGAGAACATTCTCGTGACATTTTGTAGCGTCACGTGATGTCAGTGTTACCGTTGGTTATTATGCAGTCCAAGTTCAACAGTTCTTCGACGGTGCTTTAACGGGACTAGTTTTGAGGTACGCATCACTTTCTGTGGTATCGTCTGGAAGGAGTGACTTGACACTAATATCTGAAAAGCAACGGTGGTGGAGTTAAAATAATGGCACCTTGCAACAGTGGCACAATATCAGGGGCAATGTAGTTTCCACAAACATGCCAAGGACGTTTTTGTATCGGTAAAACAAAATTTTAAAAACAAGACTTTTTTTTTTATGTACTTCTGCAGCAAGAAGCTGATGCAATGTAAAACGTAGAGGCAAATTTCTTTTTGTTCTTTTTTTGTTTCTAAAGTTAAAACTATTTCGAGATTGGTTATCTTTTAATATTAATAAGTGCGAGAAAACGGAAAACATGGCTATCGGCTTTTAAAATAAAGTTTTGTTTGGTGTGTTTCTTCTGTCCGTGTTTTGTCCCTTACACTAAGTTTTAAAGCAGTAGCTATATAGGGCCAACCAATTTCAAGAGCCGTGCAAGCACGAAATGTGTAGGTAGGTCAGTCCGTAACAAAAAACGACCTTGAAAAAAAAATGGCTTCCTGTGCCAGGGATCAAACCTTGGTCACCGGCATGGAGGCCGAGTATGCTGCTGACTGAGCTACGGACCCAGAATGCCGGATCGGGAGGAGCAGAAGCAGGTGGTGTGAGAAAGTATGCAGAGGGCAGAAGGGGTGAAAGGGCAAGAAAGAGACAAACAGAAACGTGTTGTAAAAAGAGCTTGCGGAATGATTAGAAAGGGCAGGAAAGCGTGCTTCTCCTCGCTTGGTGACCCAGAAAATTCAGCACAAAGGCTTTGTGTCCGGGTGATGCTGAAGGGAAGTGCATGCAGCATCACTAAGAGACAATGACGTGACATTAGTTGTTTTCATACAAAACCCTACCCTAGGCACCACCTGAACTAAGGGCACCAGGCAATAAAAGACTAAAGGTCATCCTGTCCTAGTCACCACCCGAACTAAGAGCGCCACACACCCTATATAGCTACCGCATTTAAACGCAATTGGCAGAATGACCAAATATGCGGCCAATTTCTAAATATGGATAACAAACTTACCTAAGCTATCATCATAACGAACCCCATTCAGTCAAGGCAGGATTGCACATTCACAGTTTTCATCAATCACAGTACCCAAGACCCTATACTTCGTTTCACCCTTAAGGAGGGACACTAGCTAGAGGTCAAACTTTTGAACTACTCAAGTGATCAAAATGAAATTTTCAGGGGAGATTTAGCTTCAGATGTAGGTGTACTGTGAAAACTTTCAGCTCTCTAGGACAAATTTACATACCTGCATAAGATGATGTGTCACTTTTCATTAAGAAATCTATGATATTCAAATGAAGCTAATAAGCATTACTTTGACTGCTTGAATATAAAGTGGGGGATATGGGACCTCGGGCTATCTAGTTTTAATAACTTAAATGTAAATATTTCAGGAAGGTTATTATATCAAAATATGAGATGCATATCTGTCCTATGTCAATTTTTGAAAACTTAGTATTTTATCACTGAGGACTTCAACTTAAAACAAAACAAAGTAGATAGCCCGATTCCCCAGTAAATTTCAGTTCAGAAACATCTTGATTGTGGTATCAGAAAACTTTTACCTTCGAACAAAAGATTCCTTCGTATGAATTTTGCTGCAAAAAGTGGAACTGAGAAAAATGCTTTCGAACATTGAACTCCTTTACTTTGTTACTGCCTCACAATGTGTTGAAAATATTTTATATCAACATAACTATTTGGCGTATGGTTATCAAATTTGGTGTAAGGGTGTATAATAAGTTTATAAAACTGAAAACCTTAAAATTGAAAAATGAATTTTTTCAAAAAAATTTAAAATTTAGGCCCATGTCCCCCCTTAAATACGGACACGGCCGACGATACACGCTGATGGGACCAATCAAACAATGTCAAGAGTGCAAGTCACTGGACCTTACCTGTGATCGATTGGTTCAGCAGCGATAGAATGTCTACAGAAACATGACAAACACCCCGTTGGTGCACTTTCGACGCCATATGATTGGTATCGTCAACCTGTAGAGTCGGCTGCGTCTCCGAAAACAAAGTATGAAACAAAGTATGAAGTGGGTTCAATCTTTGATCTTCTTGTTGCCTCTGTTCGCACTAATTTGCGCAGAGTGTCGTGCAGTTAATAGACGTGAATTTGCGTGGTAACATCTAAACGGGACCATTAATGTCTCAGGAGGACCAACTGAACGCCGCGGCGAATCCCGAGCTGTTCTTGGCACGGCGCCTCAACGAGGATTCAATGCTGGACGCCAGACTGGTCGAGGCCGTCAAAATCCTGATGCTCAAGTCGGCCTTAGACCTGTTTGCCCTGTTGCAGCGGGACAGTGATCGGCCGTGCCCCGTGTTTGCGACGGTCCTCTTCTCACGGGCCTCATCGGCAACGCCAAGGGACCTCCTTCTGAACCACCTCAACCGGCTCGGGAGGGAACAGGAGGTGCAAGAGGTGACGACTTTAGCGTTGTATTTCACAAACCGAATGCTGTGCAGGCAGTATCAATGCAGAACTCTACAAAATTTCATAATTTGGGCACACATGTCGCAAGCGCCGTATTTTCCGGACTATGCGGAGTGCGATTTTGTCTGCTTCTTGCACAGTGGTTGCGATGATGTCAAAACGCCAAGCTCTTATTGGCTGACCTCAAGGCATCTAGCATTGAAGTTTACCCACCATCTTTCCATCAAAGCCAATCGGAGCTCGGCATCGTTCTGACATCACCGCAATTCCTGCGCAAGAAGCAGACGACTTTCTTTCCGCAGAGTCCACGGACTGTACATGTCTAAAAGTTGAAATTTCACCCGATGCGAACTATTTACAGGTGCGGACTATACAAGGATTTCTTTTTTTTTTCTAGATCACTCACTGTGACAAGACATGAAGTGTATTTTTATGAATAACGGGGCATATTAATGTTGATTTATGTATGATACTACAAGCTTCTCTGCGAGCTAACACAGCAGGCATTTATTAAGGGGGGACATTTTCCATAGTATAGTCCACGGACTGTACATGTCTAAAAGTTGAAATTTCACCCGATGCGGACTATTTACAGGTGCGGACTATACAAGGATTTGTTTGTTTTTTCTAGATCACTCGCTGTGACAAGACATGAAGTGTATTTTTAGGAATAACGGGGCATATTAATTTATGTATGATACAAGCTTCTCTGCGAGCTAGCACAGCAGGCATTTATTAAGGGGAGACATAAGCCTAATATTAAAATTTTTTTTTAAAAGATTATTTTCTCAGTTTTGAGGTTTTTGGTTTTAGAAACTAATTATACACCCTGACACCAAGTCTGATAACCATACGCCAAATAGTTACGTTGATATAAAAGATTTTCCACACATTGTGAGGCAGTAAAAGAGTGAAGGAGTTCAGTGTTTGAGTGCATTTTCCTCAGCTCTGCTTCTGCTGCAAATTTCATACGAAGGAACCTTTTCTTCGAAGGTAAAAGTATTCTGATACCATGATCAAGATGTTTCTGAACTGAAATTTACTGGAGAATCGGGCTGTCTACTTTATTTTGTTTTAATCTGAAGTCGTCATTCAAAACAAACTATGTTTTCCGAAATTGACATAGGACAGATATGCATATCATATTTTGAGGTAATCACTCTTCCGGAAATATTTACATTAGAGTTATAAAAACAAGATAGCCCGTAGTCCCTCATCTTCCACTTTATAACAAAGCAGTCAAAACGGTGCTTAATAGCTTCAGTTGCATATCATAGATTTCTTAACGAAAAGTGACGCATCTTCTTATGCAGGTATGCAAAACTGTCTTAGAGAGCTGAAAGTTTGCACAGTACACCTACATCTGACTTTAAATCTCCCCTGCAAATTTCATTCTGATCACTTGAGTAGTTCAGAAGTTAAATCTCTAGCCAGTCTCCCCCCCTAAGGTGTGCTGTGTACGATAATTTTTACGTTTGGACTAGGCACTAAGTGCAAACTATGCCCTGGATGCAAACTATCTAAGCAGAAACTTTTATTGTTGACCACAAATTTACCCTTGCAGACAATGCACCGGGTGCAGACTGTAGTCCGAAAAACGTGGTGGATCCCCGGGAATTGTTGACACTGATAAACTGGCTATACTGTTCTTTGGATTAGGAAAACTATTAGGGGTGAAGCTCCTTGGGGTCTAGCCTTGTCCGGCATCCGAGCTCACATCGATTGCACTGCCTCCGGGATCAACCCCCTTCTAAAAAAAAGGGGTACGCCCGCACGGGGGTTCGAACTCAGGACTGCTTGCTTACGAGGCAGACGTCTTAACCACTATGCTACACTCCAACGCTGCATGTTGCCGCTCAACGTCTATACAGGAGAGGGCGCTGCGGTCAAATGCGTATATAATCGCGTTAAACTTCGCATGCATTGCCTCAACGTATATAGACGAGAGGGTGCTGCAGTCAAATGCTCAAAAGCGTATATAACCACGTTCCATACCACACATTCTCTTTCTGAATGGACCGTTCACTTCAACGGTAGAAATGCGTTCCCACGGCTTCTAGCAGATCCAAGCTGATCCGCTAGAAGAACCACTGGCTCCGCATTTCACCGACCATAAAGCAGTATTAATGAAGTCAAAACGCAACCCGGAACTCAGCACTACCTATGAGCAGTAAAAAAAAATCAGCACCATCAGCACTATTTATGAACAATAAAATCAGTATCATCAGCACCACCAGAGCTTCGACCCAGTCAACATCATTCACCACGTGGAAATGTTTTTTCATCAGTATATGTCTTGCGAAATATATACTGTATTTTCGAGTTCATACAGTCAAACCTTCATAACGAAGTTTGCGGGACCGTTAAAATTTTTCGTAATACCGGTAACTTTATTGTGGTAGTTGAACGCGAAAAATCAATCGTGCAAATCTGAATTTGTGTTATCACATATTGACATACCTGACATTTGAGGTGTTTTAGGAACAGTATAGTGGCAAATATAATAAGAGCGACATAAGAAACAAGGGTTAGTATACGTATGTTGACAATTGACTTGTCAAAAGGGTGAACGTTGGCCCAGCCTGCTAGCACCTCACAGCTCGGAGCACATGAGGCAGAAGCTCGTGTGCAGTATCCAGGCATCTTAAGCTCGATTACCATTTTTTTATTCTAAACAAAAAAATGTATTGGCACGCATTCGTGTACTCATCACTGTATGACGCAATTTAAAGACACCAGACTAGCAGTTGTACCGTCAGTACCGCCGCCGGCAAAAATTTGTCACCTACGGCCGAGACACCAGGCGCCCCTTTCTACAGACTGATTTCCCACCGTCCAAACTTCCACACAACAGCCTTAACTGACGTAACAAAATATGGATTGCAGTGATCAATAACCCACCGAGTTCGATCCCCCATCACGCAGTGAATGAGAGGCCTTCGCCAACTGTGTAAATTTGGCCTTTTCTAAATCGGGCGGCGGGTGGCGCCGCCACCTGTCATTCAGAAAAGACTTTCGAAGCAGCTGCGCTGCTCTCAATTGCGTGCATAATAACTAAATGGCATATAGAAACGGGCGCGGCTGAATCGGCCATGCGCTCGGCACGCAACAGCTGTAGTGGAGCGAGGATGGGGAGAGGTGCACAACCGAGTCGACTCGGTTCTTTTTCCCATCTGCCCGGCACAAAGAGGGGTGCGCATTTCTTTTCCTGCAATGGCTTTTTTTTTTTTTTTTTTTTTTTTTTTTTTTTTTTTTTTTTAACAAGAACTGTCATTGCTTTACCAGTTTCACATCACAATCTTTTTGGAGTTTCGGGTCGGGAAGACTGTACAAACTTATCTCGGTGTGGAGTGGTGCGTTTTCAGCGGTGTGAGCAAATCAAAAGTATGCACGTGCGCTCGTGGTTGTGCGTAGACAGAAAGTTGCACTCTAATAAATTATTTATATCCGAAACCTAGAACGCGCGGCGTTCTAAGTTCACGGCTGCCGAAGTATTCGTACTCTACACGCGTCACTTGAAAGCTACAATATACTTGAAGACATTTGCTTTTTACCTAGAAAATTTGCGATACCAATCATTATTGTTTTGTGGTGCCGTGCAATTACCTCGTTCAACAAGAATTCATTGTAGTAGTCAGAGAAACACGTTGAACACATAGGAGACTGGCCGGGACTTTATTTTACTTCGTTAGAAGTGAGTTTTTGTGTTAATCCCGGTTCAAACAGACCCGGACTGAAACCCGGGTGCCGGAACCCATAGTGACGTCAGCGCTCTCTCCAAACGGGCGGTGACGTAAATACGACTTCCGGCACCCGGATTGAAGAGTTGAAATTTTTTCAACTTTCTCCTTCCCGGGTCGTGACGTAGGTTTCCATATTTTCTCCGCGGCCAATCAGCGCGGCGCGCTTCCCTCCTTTGCCCTCCCTGCCACCGGCGTTCACGTTGTTCCGCGTGCGAATGCCTCAGTTGCTCCGTGCTTGCTTGCAAGAAAAGCTCCGGTGATGAACTTCCCGCCCGTCTCCGACGCGAGGAAAGCAGCTCAAGCTGCAAAGAAGAGTGCCGCTGCGTTTGTTGTACCCGAGAAAGCCTATGGACTAGTTAGCTAGTTTAGCGGTACCCCTGGATCTACGACAGGTATCGTAGCGACCACAAGGACCGGGACAAGTGAAAGAACTCGATACTGCTTTTAATAATTTATTGACACGGTTTCGGAGACACGGGAGGTGGTTGCAACCCGATGAAACGGCCTCTTCAATGCAAATGTGAGTGGCCTTTAGAAAGGCCGTTTGTAGAGGCAGGCGGTGGTTGGCTTGCTGGCTGCAAAGAGACCGGAAAGGCAGTGGGATGTTATTAATAAGCAAATGTGCTAAGCTTCCAGCTTTGAGGGCATGCTTGTTCACTACAATTGTAATGAAGCAACTCATTTGTTCATTTTTTTTTAATTTTTTATAAACAATGTTTTACCAGCCTCGGGCACTCTGCGACCAAAAAAAATCTCCTCCCCCTCGAAACAAAATTCTGGCTACGTGTTAGCTGCAACCATTGTGCGTGCGAGCTACATCTGACATTTAAAAGGTTAAAAAGGCCAACGACACTGGTACGCGCTGTGGACCAGTTTTTAGGCAGTGCTGTACGACCGCTAGCCTAGGGTCTTTAACACCCGTCACGCAGTAGTGAAACACGAACGTCTGCTGGTACGATGCTCATCCAGATCGAAACGGGCAGGGGTGGGGATTGAACCCAATATCCCTGGGTTCTGCAGCGCGAGCTTTCGTGCAGAAAGCTTGTAAGCACACATCCTAGCTGGCACAAAGGACAAGGAAGCACAACGGGCTTCCCTCATTCATGCACTCAAAGGAGCACAACACAGTGACCAGATTTTGTGGACCGAAAGAGTGTCGTACGAGCTGCACATGTGCATGCTATTGCTATTTTTTTTATAGCACAGACGCAGTAAAATTTGACAAGCATGTGACTGTTACAAAAG